TCATATCTTGTGGTTGAGCTAGAGTGTAATTTTAAGACAGGCATCCAATCTTGATTTATTATTGTGAGTGTGGCTGCTATAACACTTCCAGATCCCAGTCAGGGATCAAGACCCCATTGTTCTAGGCTCAGTATAAACAATTCAAAAGCAGCCGTTGCCCCAGAATGCTCACAGTCTAGGATTTAGACAATACTTAACCTTGTCTACACTAGAAAGTTGTATCGCTTTAACAATGCCAGTTTAGTTAAAAGGGGCACAATTCCTCTAGTGTGGACATAGTTATATCGGCATAACTGTGCTTATACAGCAGCTTATTTCCTTATGAGAAGGAGAATAAAGTACAAACTGGTATAATGTAACTTGACACTGGTATAGCTGTGTACACACTGGGGGTTGTGCTGGTAAAAATCACACCTCTAAATGAAATAGATAGACCAGTACAAAAGCTGCCTGTAGACCAGGCCTTTAGGCAGGAGCCCTTTGTTTGTTATGCATGTCTGTACAATGCCTAGCACAGCGGCGCCCTGATCCATGACACACAGCAGGAGCGTGAACAGACAAGTGGTGGGGAGGACAAAGTGGCCTCCGATGGCCAGGACTGTGTTTTATTAATGGAGCCTCGCAGATTTCAACTCTTCCAGCGCCAGCGATTGTGGTTTTTATTTTAGTTTTCTGAGGGGTGAGTCCAATAGAGTTAGATTTCTCTTTCTCATCGCTCAGGGCCATGAGCAGATTTTGTGCCTGGGTTGGCAAATGTGCCTGGTGGTTTTTTGCAAAACTGGCTTAGCTACACGATGAGGTTTGGAACCCAAATCGATTTGCATCACTGGCACACGCAGAGCCCCACTGACCCCTTTGGGCACCTCTAGGGTGAGTAAAGCAGGCAACGTATGGCCCCATGCGAAGAGATTGCTGCCTCCAGGGTAGTTGAGCACCAGTGGGAGAAAAATTTGAGGGGGAGAGGCCTAAGGTGTATCAGATAAATGGGGGCAAGAGGGCAACTGGACTGAGCCCTAGGCTTACTTGGTCCTGCCACAGTGCAGGAGCCTGAAGTCGATGAAGTCTCAATGTCCTTTCCAGCCCTACAGCTCTATGATTCTATGATCCCTCCTTGATCATAGAATCATAGAAGATTAGGGTTGGAAGAGACCTCAGGAGGTCATCTAGTCCACCCCCCTGCTCAAAGCAGGACCAATCCCCAACTAAATCATCCCTGCCAGGGCTTTGTCAAGCCAGGCCTTAAAAACCTCTAAGGAAGGAGATTCCACCAGCTCCCTAGGTAACCCATTCCAGTGCTTCACCACCCTCCTAGTGAAATAGTTTTTCCTAATATCCAACCTAGACCTCCCCCACTGCAACTTCAGCCAAGCTCCACCCTCTTTGGAACCCCGCTTCAGGTAGTTGAAGGCTGCTATCACATCCCCCCCACTCTTCTCTTCTTCAGACTAAATAAAACTAGTTCTCCTCATAAGTCATGTGCCCCAGCCCCCTAACCATTTTCATTGCCTTCCGCTGGACTGTCTCTAATTTGTCCCCATCCTTTCTGTAGTGAGGGGCCCAAAACTGGACACAATACTCCAGATGTGGCCTCACCAGTGCCGAACAGAGGGGAATAATCACTTCCCTCGATCTCCTGGCAATGCTCCTACTAATGTATACCCTTGTCTACGTGGGTTTGACTCCTGCTTCTGGCACAGCCCTTCCTGAGCCATGTCAAGGCCTTTAGATCAGGGGTTCTCAAACTGGGGATTGGGACCCCTCCGGGGGTCATGAGATTTTACATGGGGGGTTGTGAGCTGTCAGCCTCCACCCAAACCCTGCTTTGCCTCCAGCATTTATAATGGTGTTAAATATATAAAAAAGTGTTTTTAATGTATGAGGGGGGTCGCACTCAGAGGCTTGCTGTGTGAAAGGGGTCACCAGTACAAAAGTTTGAGAACCCCTGCTTTAGATCTTGTATTTGGTGCCTAGATGCCATAGTGATTGGCAGACAGATGCGTTCTGTAGGGGAAAGCATCTTGCCTTCCTCCCAGGCATCAGGTCTCAGCTGCAGACTGGCTGGGCCAAGAGCCTGGTTCAGTACAGCAGTCTAATTTATCAAGTCCTGTGTCTCCTCCCTTCCCTTGCTCTTCCAGAATCCCTCGCCTGCTTCTTCTTTGGCTGGTGTTGGAGGTGGTGAGGGGGGCTTATTACAGGCCTGAAATTACTATTCAGGCCAAACGCCCATTGAAGTCGATGGGCTACATCCTGACTGGTGCTGTGCTAGCCCAGCAGAAATTTCGCCCAAACAGGGACTAAATAAAGACCTAGAGCCAGGTTGTCTCAGAGAGAGAAGAGATGGAAAAGACCTAGACATTTGCCTCTTCTCGAGTCAGTCTGGGCCAGAGTAGGATTAGTCCCTCAGCTGTTGTTATCAATGAGGAGGTTTGTTATGCATTAGTTGAGCACCGACAGTGCAGCGGGCCCCGCGCAATGCCTCCAGAATATGCGCTTCTTGCCTTAAGGTGCTTACGACCTCAGTTAGACTGACCGTGCAATCTGGACACAAGCCGTGGGCTGTCTGGGGAACGGGGGGGCCGGTTTCCCAGTGGCACTGTGGTGAATACAGCGCGCCCTGTAGCAATTATATATTAGCCTGGTTATTGGGATGGTGTTTTCTGCATGGACATTTTGGTCTGAGTGTTTCTTGTGCGGGTCAGGCAGGAAGGAGGAGGTGGCTTGTGATGGTCACTATCATTCGCTGCTTAAGAGTCATTATTGGACAATGCCGAGCAATTAGCTCCAGTGGCTCTCGCTTGATCCCCTTTGAGCCTTCAGGATTGGTTTAGCCAGGAGGGGCCAAAACCCACCAACCCTGGAATAAACCTTCTGAGGAGCAAAAAAACCTTGGCAAGGTTTTAAAAAGGGATGTCCGAGGGAACCAGATTGAGACATGGGAGCCTGCGGGGTGTTTGAGGAAACGTGACCTGCTTTGGTCACCATGGTGGGATGGCAGAATTTAGGTAAGGGCTTGTCCACACGTGAGAGTTATTCTGGATTAATAAGGTAGGGTGTGAATTTGAGGTGGAATTCCTGAATAGCTCCTTGTAAGCCCTAAATTAGACACGCACGAAGGCTGGCTGTTGATTTCAAATCCCTTTTTCTCTCATGCTTTGTTCCAGCTGCTAAATAAAAAATCCTGTGTTTAAGACGGCCACTATACCTGGTCATAGGTTCCCCAAGCCCAGTGGGGCCTGCAGGATGGTAAGTGGTTTGTGTAAGCAGGACAGTGTTCCTAGCTCCTGGCCTAAGAGCGGAAGAATTGCAAGATCCCACCCTGGGACGAGGGCAAGAGGTCCAAAACCTGCTGTAGGTGCACTGAGAGAGACGAGACAGGGAGATAGAGGGGCAACCAGCCAGCCCGCCCTGTGTTTGGGACACGTGCATCAGTACATTTGCAACAGAGCTGGGCAGGAAATGGTTTTCCTGTCCTGCAACAGTGTTTGAGATTTCAAAAAAAGCTCCTATGATGCACTGGGACAAAGCTGAGGTCTTTTCAACTTTTTTCAGAAAAAATACAGGGAGAGAGACCTCAGAATAAGCCAGTGGTTAGGGTATTCACCCAGTGTATGAGAGGTGCCGGTTTAAATCCCTGCTCTGCCTCGTTCAGATAAAGGAGTTGAAATCAGCTGTCTCGCATTGCAGGGAAGTGCCCAAACCGGAAGGCTATTGGCTATGCCCTGGTGGGGCTCTGTCTCTCACTTTGACCAAAAATTCCATCCTGGATCTGAGCAACCACCCCAAAGAACGTTTCCTTTCCCGCGTAAATATTCGGTTTTGACGAATCAGCATTTTCCGGTGGAAAAACCACTTCGGCGAAAATCTCCTGACCAACTGGAGCTCGGCCCATCCAGTTGGAAATGACTCAAGAGGAACTGATGCTGCTTTCCCTTAGTTCGAGTCCTCGCTCGCACCCTCTTTACAGGGCTCACAAAATTACCACTTTGCATTTTGTTATGCTTCTTATTTGTATTGCAGAAGTGGCTACAGGGCCCAGTCAGTGAACAAGGCCTGTTGTATTCAGTGCTGAACAAACAAACAGAGAGAGAGACTAATTCCTGCCCCAGAGAGCTCCTGATCTAGGATTACAACAAGATGCAATTGGTGGATAAATAGACAAACGGGAGGGATGGAGGACCCGGTAGTTGCACAAGACGGAGCCATGGCATAACTGCTTTTTGCACCCGATCCTCACGCGGTGTAACTTTGCACAGCTCCATTGCAGTCAATGGGCCAGATCCCCAGCAGTGCTCATCGACTGTAACTCCATTGAAGCCAATGCCCTTTTACACCTGCTGAGGCTCGGCCTCATATTTCTTCATGGTTTAAAGCCCTGCTTTATTTCAAAAGGCGCAGTGCTAAATAGCAGCTGATGTCATTTATGGGGCTCTGCTCATTTTATTGGCTGATGTTTTGACCATCTGTGTTTGGTTTTCAGCCCATGTCGAAGAGTAGATCACCAAACACACTTTGGCGCCATGTCAATATGACGTATCGTTATGATGTTAAACAGCTAAGCACAATGCCCGACCGAGGCAGCAAATACAAAGACACAGCAGACGTTCTTTGGAACTCCTCATCTGGTGTAAATCAACCCCAGTGGAGTGAGACAGATCGACCCCAGCTGGGGATCTGGCCCATTGACACCAATGGAGTGAGGCCAGTTTACCACAGTTGGGGCTCTAGCCCATTGTTTTAAATTCCTGAAAATCAAAACTAGGACAGGGTGAAATCTACCACACCACCTAGGGGATCTCTGCATTTCTGCACCAGTTCAGTAGGGCCTCATCTATCCTGCCCTGGTTCCCCTGGCTGGACACCTGCCGCGGCAAGAAGATGTGTGATTGCCGCATGCCCTGACTGCAGAGGGAAGGGCGCTCACACACACATCAGGGACTCCTCTGTAGATCAGGGCAGCCGCGCTGAGTCCCTGAATGGCAGAGGCCAGTTCGAGTACTCACCCCACATCCCCACCAAGACCAAGGAGATGAATGCTGGCTGCTGGACTCCCATCGGGCTGGGTCTCTCCCTCCTCCTCCCTGCCTGAATCTGTGAGCTCAGGGCTGAGCGAGCGGGCGTTTGCACCCCAGCCGGCTCTGCTACCTGGCACGGGGAAGGGGAGGGGGCCGGGAGGAAGAGGCTGCTTTTCCTCCCTCTGTGGTTCTTTGCGTCACGGCTCGCTGAGTTGAAGCCCAGCCTGCCAGCTTCCTTGACAGAGCCTGTCGAGCACAAGAGAGGCTCAGAGGTCTCGCAATGAAGTTCATGCTCATGCCTCCTCACAGCCAGTATCCCCAAGGCCCGAGACATGAATTCCCAGGGCCGGGGGCTGTGGGGGAGCACTGTGTGTGTCACGAGTGTAGACTGGGTATCTATGGAGCCCACACTCCCCTCTGAGCATCAGGGAAGGGTCCCACAGTAAGGGGCTGGGCTCCCATTGGAGGGGAGCAGGGCACAACAGAGCCCAGGGCTGAATAAACCTAGGGGCAGAATCCCCCACCCACTCTAGGAGATGGGGACTCCTTCCCAGGTCAGGGACTGAGGTCCCACTGGAGTGATCAGTGTAGGAGCCCCCAAGACTGAATCACCATGGAGATTGAATTCCTCTCAGAACTGAGGGGCAGTGATGGGATCTCACTGAGCAGGGAATGCAGGGGGTGACCCAGATATGTGGGTGAGGAAGGGGCTGTGGGTGACAGGGGAGACTAAAGATTTAAGAGTGCCAGATCCCCAGCTGGCGTCAATCAGCTATAGCTCCATTGGAATCAAAGGGCCAGATCCCCATCGGGTGTAAATCAGTGTTACTCTATCGGAGTCAGTAAGCCAGTTCCTCAGCTAGTGTAAATCAGCATTGCACTCTCAGAGTCAAAGGGGCCAGCTGGTGTAAATCAGTGTCACCCTATTGGAGTCTATGCTCCACATCTTGCAAAGGTGTAAATCCGCATCGCCCCTGCTAAGCATCTGGCCCTTGTTGTCAGTGGAAGAGCCACTGCTGAGGAGATACTGATGTGGTTTTTACGTAACGCCCAGCCCCGACAGAAATAACCTGATCCATTTCAATAATAACCTCCCCTTGTCCCTGAGGCGGTGTGTTTTTTTCTCCCTGCTATATTTACTCTCTTATCTCCGCCTGTGGTCGCCGTTTGAGGTGAGAAAGTTTTCTGCTCAGTGGCAGGAAATTTGCAGCCAAACGCGCAGTGCAGCAAAAGTCCCAGAGCGGGGAGTGAACGGCGCCCCCACTGCTCAGCGCCGGCTCGCTGTTATCTGCACAGTGGAGACACTTGGCGGGGACAGGACCCTGTAGGCACATGCATGAAAACCAGCACCGTTATCTGCACAGGGCCACGGCAGCAACCGACGCACGGCGGCAGTTTAGCTTCATCTTGATGATGTGTGCACCAGTCCCCTCCCCTGTGCACCGCCAAAGGTCACTGAGGTATTGCTCACCTGCGCCACCTCGACTGGCGCCAGGAACTGGCTTTCAAATGGCAGTTACTGAGAAACAGGCATGCAGAATTCCTGCGTTAAATGAGAAGGTGAACCCCAGCCAGGCAAGTCGGGCAGTTCCTGGAGACATCCGAGACTCACGCGGAATCCGGTTCATGTGCCCATGATTTCTATAGCCTGGGGCTAAACACAGGGGCCAGGTCCTCGCTGGGGTAAATCAGCATTGACACAAATTGAGCAATGTTGATTTACACCAGCTGAGGCTCTGGCCGTGGACTCCAATGGAGCTATGGCTGATTTACCCCATTGCGGATCTGGCCCATTGATTCAATGTAGAGGTGTTGATTTACCCCCAGCCGGGGATCTGGCCCATTGACTCCAATGAGGCTGTGGCTGATTTACCCCAACTGGGGATCTGGCCCATTGACTCCAATGAGGCTATGGCTGGTTTACCCCAGCTGGGGATCTGGCCCATTGACTTCAATGAGGTTATGGCTGATTTACCCCAGCTGGGATCTGGCCCATTGACTCCAATGAGCCTATGGCTGATTTACCCCAGCTGGGGATCTGGCCCTTTGACTGCAATGAACCTATGGCTGATTTACACCAGCTGGCACCCGTGCTGCCAAGGCCCCCCAGGACCCAGACAGGAGCTCAGTCTCTATGGACTGTTCAGCCCTCTGCTTCTCTGAGGAGGTTGCCAGCAGCTGGCTTTGGGCTTGATCAAAGGCCGTTGGGGCCAGTGGGATTCTGTCCATTGTCTCTGGCCCGTCCTGTCCACCATGGACCTGCACTGAGTCTCCTGGTTAATTTCACATGGGGTTGTTGGGGGAATGCACCCTGCAGGTACAAACTTCGGTCTCCTATTCACACTGCGATCCCAGGGGCAGCTGTTCTGACCTGAGCTGTGACACAGGCGCTGGACTGATCCATTCTCCCCCAGACTCCCCAGGGCACAGATCACCCCAGAGACACCCCCCTGAGAAGGGCACAAGCTGCTATTGCCTGTAAGGGGAGTGGAGGGGGGGGGAGGGCGATCAATCATCTCCTAATTAATTTTCTGGAATTCAGCTCAAGTATGTTAATAAAGGAGGTCGTTTCCCATCGACCGGCTGGCACTTCCACTGCGGGGAGAATTGCCCATCCATTCCTGGGTGCTACGGCCACTGGGGTGTGTCCCAGGCTCTCAGAGGGCACCCCTCATTGACTGGCATGGGCATTGCGCCCTGGCTGGAGAGAGCAGGATTTGACCCCAGGCAGTGTCTGTTTTAATTGTCTCCTCTCCTAGCTCCCTTTGCCTTCACACCTCTTGCCCCGCTTTCCTCCGCCCTGATCCTACTTCCAGTGGAGTCAGCAGGAGCTTGGCCACTGGCTCCAATTCCTTCTCCCCCATGATACAGAGATCTAGGCATGCTGAGCAGGGCTGAAATCAATGCCATTACCACAGGGAAGGAGCGGGCCCAATGGGCCCGATTCTGATCTCGTGTGCACAGATAGGGCCTGATTCTGATTGCACAGCAGCTTTTCTCATGTGCAGGGGACTGGATTTTCACTGGTAAACATGGGATTAAGAATCAAGCATATGGGACCAGATCCTCATCGGGTATAAATGGGCATAGCCCCCCTCCCCCAAGCTTCAATGGAGCGACACTGATTTACACCAGCTGCAAATCTGGCCCCTTGAAGGGCACAAGGGTGTACCCACAATCCCCCCACCCCTGTGACATCCTGGTGGCAGTGCAGCAATACGTGTCCCGGGTGCCCTGCTCTCACCACATGCTCCATCCCTTTCGGGCATTTCCTGCAGTCACAACTATTGACAAGCTAAAGATTTTCCATGACACAAGAGGAAGTTTGCTTGCACGGGCCGGGTGTGTGGTACATGCCTGTCAGCCGGCAAGGTCACGAGCTGGGGTTTGGAGGAGGGGGACAGAGAGAGCTTGATATGGAGCTGCAGGAGACACAGCCCTACTGAGTGCCTCTGGCTCCTGGGGCCAGAGCGGATGGGAAGTGGCACCTTGGAGAAGTTCCAATGAGGTAAATAACATTTTGAGCTTATGCCTCTCTGCTCCTTTCACTTCTCTCCCCTACCCAGATCTCCTCAGAAAGCAGAGCCAGGCCCTGCCACCCCATGGCCTGGGCAAAACCTGCAGGGGTGGGGACAGGGAGGAGATTGTCCGGCCTGGCAGCTGTGTAGGCCCAGAAACATCCTGTTCCCAGGAATGGTAGGGAGTGCTGGCCTGCGGCGTGACCCAGGCTCTCCAGCCCCACAGGTGTCAGAAGTGCCACAGGGAAAATCCCTCGTGGCTCGATTCTTGAGCCATCTGCATAGAGGGCTGGGATACACCGGCGCCGAGGGGCTGTCCCTGTCTAGCACTCCCCCTGCCCTAGTCCCAGGTAGAATGGCTGCAGAGCACCTAAGCCGGATGTTGCTGACTACATCCGCTGCTTCATGACTGCGGGCCGATTCCGGTCTCCCCACCCCACACGTCCTGCGGCTGGGTTGTTCCACTCCAGCATGGGAGGTGTGGCTGAGGTGCAGCTGTGCTCGGGCTATTCCCAGCTTCAGCAAGGGCCCTGGGAGCCGTGGGCAGCTGGGTATACATTAGAGCAGCCACACTGAGGGCCAGATTGGTGCCTGGCCAGCCAGAGGGTCTACAAAAGGCTGAAATATAAAATCCGAGGGGTAATTTCACATGTGGTGGAAGATCACAGAAAAAGGCCTGTTGCCTTTGTATCTAGCTCTATGCAGAGTGTAACTTTGCTCAGGTTGACATGGATGCTCCAGTTTAGTCTGGGGAGCTAAAAAGTGTCACCGCTATGTGGATGGGAAGCGATTTCCTTTGGTCATGGACCTTCAGCCTCCAGTTTCAATGAACAACCCGCAGAGCACAGCTCGGACGATGGCTGCGGCTCGGTTACAGACAGGGGCGGGGTTCTCGGGTGCTCACTGGTAGGAGTTTAAGTTTGAAAGCACCAGCTGCTAGCCCAGTACCGCAGAACAGTCTGCTGCTGGAGCTAGCGGACGGAGGGCCAGCTTTTCCAAGTGATTTAGGCCCCTAAAGATGCAGCTGGGTGCCCTGCGGGATTGCCAAAAGCCCCAAAGCAGGGTAGGTGCCTAAGTCCCATTAAAACCCTTTGTAGGGTTTACCAGTCATGCACTTTAAATCCACCTTTGGCCCCCAGGCTCTGCCTGGGCCGAGGGCAGCTGGGCCGGAGCAGAGAGTCTAGGCCTTATTGCAATGCCACAGAAGCATGAGGCAGAAGGGCGAAGGTTAACGGTGCAGCCTGACCATGCTCTGACTGCAGTTGTTATTGCTGCATGGGACAGACGAGGCGCCTTTAAAAAAGAAACGAGATAAAAAGCAGGCGCTTCCCTCCCTAGGGCTCTGCAGACCGGGCCATCGCACGGGGCAATTCTGCAGCCTAGACACAACGACCTGTGCCCATCCACCTTAGCAGGACCCCTTCCTTCTCCAAGCCTTAGGAGCTGCAGAGCTCCCTCCCTCCCATGAACCTCCTGGGTATATTGGGAGCAATCCCCATCCCTTTTTGGCCCTCCGTCAGCC